ATGGCACCGAAGCAGTGATCCCCACAGAGATCGAAGTACCTACGTTGCACCTAGAAGCATACAGTGATCAAACAAACGAAGATGACCTACGCACCAACCTCGACCTACTCGACGAAGTAAGGGATCTTGCATACATTAGGACCGCAACCTACCAACAGAGAGTAGCTCGGTACTACAACGCTAGGGTCAAGAAGCGGAACCTCCGCGTTGGCGACCTGGCCCTTCGTAAAGTTATGGTACTTGAACCCGGCACTAGCAAACTCGGGTCCAACTGGGAAGGTCCTTACCGAGTGAAACGAGTGCTCGGGGAAGGAACATACGAGATCAAGACCCTCGAAGGGAAACAAGTACCTCGAGCATGGAATATTGTCAATTTGAGGCAATATTATCTGTAAGAAGCGAGTAGGCCACGATCTACTCCCAAAGCCTAAGGGCCAGAATACCGAGCTAACATGACCTCGGCACAAGAAGACCCCAATCGCCACTTCGGCTTGGGAGAATCCATGAGCAGACTAYGGGTCCCTCCCTAAGCCTAAGGGCCAAAACACCGAGCTAACAAAGACCTCGGTGTGACCTCAATGCCGGAGAAAAAGTATGAAATATTAAAGGCGTAAGCAGCTCGGGTTCAAACCCTACGAAGCATAGCTCGTCTCGATACGTCGGCCGAACTAAGGGATAACCAACCAATGTTTAGTCTGGACGTACGTAGTAATCACTTCGCGGTATGCCACGGAGGCCCTAAACGTGACAAATAGGGAGAACGCCTACCGAAGAACCCTATTTTGGGTAGGTAACTTCAATAACCCAAATGATGAGATCGCTTTAGCAAAAATAAAAGGAGTTCATCATACTCAGAAGAGGGGAGAGACTTTCATTGTCGGAAAAAAAAAAACAAACAACAAACAAATGCAGTAAAGGAAAATAACAAGTGCAGCAACCGAGCTAAACAGCTCGGGAAAGGTTTGATCATCATAGGGCACAACCGCCCAACCGAAAAACTAGTGAAAGACCGGGTTTACGGCACCCGGAAGCCACTGAAGCCCAGAGAAACACCACGTCAAGGATCCGCCTCCTCATCCGCTTGGTCTGCTGTCTCAGGGGACAGACCCTTCATAGTAATGCCGTCGAGGTTAAGCCCGGAGAACTTCTTCCGAACCAGCCACCGACAGAGCTTAAACCCTAAGCGGTACGAACCCGAGCCATACTCCGCCTGGAGGTCATGAAATTCCTGGGAGTCTTTAAAATCCCAAACTGCTTTCTCTCGCTCAGCCTCCACCATCTGGTCAAAGTTTCTGGTCCGATTCAGAAGAGTGGACTCCAGGTCCCGCACCTGTTGCCTGAGAAGCTCCCTCTCCCCTGCCATCCTTGACGATTCCTCCCTATAGCGTGCGCTCTCTTCAGTAAGCCAAGCGATTTGAGCCTCCTAGTCATGAACAAGCAGCTCCTGAGACTCGCTCCCCTTGCGAGTGTGATGGAGCTCGCCCCGGATCTGGTCAAGCTCGACATGGAGCTTCTGATTGGTAGCACATTGGTCGAGGGCGTCGACGCGATGGATGCGCGTCTGGAGAGCCATGGCATGGATGACGGAATTTACCTATCGACAAAAAAGAAGATTAGAAAGCGAAAAAGGGCAAAACGAGAGGGAAAAAGGAAAAAGGCCACTTACCACCATGCAGTGGGCAGAGGCGAACGCAGAGAGATCCCCGAGCTCCATGTTTCCCCACTGAGCGATCTCGTCATTATTGATTGCCTTCCGACTCCTCCGGCGAGCTACCAGATAATCATTTACCCCTTCCCAGTTTCCCACTGGGTACCGGGGGTAAGGACGGGGCTGAAGGGGGTTAAAGGGGGCCTCCTCCGGCAGAGAGGGCTCGCTTCCCCCAGGGTTGACCCCACTAGTCCCCTCAAGAGGGGGCATCGGAACCTCGAGCGGAGGAGAGGGCAGAACTAGCTCGGCAGACCCGAACTCAGTGCTTCCCGAAGAAGGGGTCCGGTCGGGGCGCGTCCTCTTCACCTGGCGTCTCTGGCTGCTCGAGAGAAGGCGGCGCGAATCGGCACTAGACATGATGGATGCCAAAAGACCACAAGATATTAGTCCAACAGGAAGCAAAATGCATGTGTACACAATAGTCACAAGACACTACGCGACCTAAAAGGCCGACCTACCCGGGCTCAAGCCTGCTTGCACGAGCTTCTCCTCGGCCAAGTAGTCCGAGCAAAGGAAGCCTATCGACGCCCAGGACAGCATCGTTTTCCGAATCTCAGGGTTCAGGTCGGCCCTAGGGTCCTGGATGGCGCCCCTCCAAGCGGTGGGAAAGGGCCACCCCTCGGGGTTACGGACCACAAAGTAGTCCCGCTTCCAGGCGGGGGTCTTATTCGGCAGCTCGTACAAGAGCTTGTAGCCGCGACGGGGAGAGAGGTAGTAAAAGCGCCTCTCCGGAGGAACCCCAGGAGGAGCATTCTTTATACAAAGGATAAAGACGAAAATGTCAAGGTCCAAAGGGAGGCAGTACTCGTGACACAGGGATATAGTCCCAACCATGTTTCGAACAGCGTTGGGGTGAAGCTGGTCAATAGTGACGTTGAAGTGGTTCAGCACCTCCACTATCAAGGGGTGTAGGGGAAGACGCAAGCCAGCCTCGAGCTATTCCTGAAAGATCACTATGTCATTGGGACCATGCTCCCAAGGGAAGTTGCCAGTAGGGAGGCTGTAAACCAGGTCCCCAGGAAGGCGAAAGTAGCGGATCAGAGACCTAAGTCTCTCCACTGTCATTAAGGAAGGGCCAAAGGTATCAGGCTCCCTCCCCTAGAAGTGGACGCCATGTCGCCAGAGGCCTCCCGAGGCTCCGGGATATGCTCCCAGGCTCCCCCTGAGCTCGAGGGAGCATCATCATCTTGGCTATCACCCCTGTGGTAGGTATGGCGTGGGTACCCAGACATGGCTGACGGCGATTGGGACTCACCAGAGTAGACGGAATGGAGCGGACTGAGAAACTCGAGTAGACTAGGCGAAGTACGCGACCTCAGAGTCCAAAGCAAGATGGTGTGGATGGAGATAGGGCCGAGGGGGGCTCCCCATTTATAGCCCTTGCCCTCTCAAACCGACGGCTCGGATCAAAGCAGATTCAACGGTCCGCGGGCGCCCTGACCGCATGCCTTCTGAAAACCGAAGGCGATTGGCGGCACATCTTCCACGATTAAGGTAGTCGCAGCCGCATGACATTCGGAATTAAAGGCCACCTCAGCACGTTTTCGGAATCCGAAAAGTCAGAGAAGTCAGATGATCTCTTGATTCCCACAAATGCATTTATTGAAGACAGTCAATCAAGTTTGAATTTCGGTCAAATCAGTCCATCGCGCTTCATAAACTCCCCGCGCAAAGGCGGCACTCTTAGCCCGAGGAGTGGGGAGCAATTGATGAAAGATGATTGACCCGACCTATGAAACGGCGACACGTGGACGTTGACTCAACATTGTGGTCCAGAACGGCTAAGTGATAGGCCCATAAAGCAGCTCGCTACATGGTAGCGGGGTAAAGGAGGAGCTCACCACAATGCGAGCTCCAGGTCCCCCGAGCTACCTCAAGGGATATTCCGAGGCAAACTTTAACTTGCGAGCTAAGAAAGCCAGGTCGCTCGAGCTCCCGAACAAGGCAAGTCATCCGAGGACCAATTCTACTAAGGGTACTTCTGAAGTATTCGAAACTCATTGCAAAGTAGCTCGCGAAATGGGCCGCACGAGCATTCCTCAGGAAGCTTCTATTTAATAAGCCGTACTAGTCAGACAGGGCCACGTCCCTAACTGACGGCACAGTCCTTGTCCTTTCGACAGTCTGCGCCCACGTCTCTCAGTAGGAGGAGGCGTGCCTGTCACTTTGGGGACGTGTCACTCGCCCGAGTAAGGAGTACGTCCTAACGGCCACTTGCGCAGCCCTGGCAGGTAACGGCTGTGGCAGGGACCTAGTGGCGGTTATGCCCGATCTCGCAAGAGCGCTCCTATAAAAGCCCTCAAGGCAAAGGAGAAACTTCTTCTTGAGACCTCTAACCTCTTGAATATAGTGATAAAGCGCGACCTCCACTCTTAGCTTTCGTTTCTCTCTTTACTCCCCATACATAATACTAACTTAAGCATCGGAGTATTCCCACCGGGCAAATCCCTGGGAATCCTTCCTTTCATCTTCTCAGGTGCCGCTCATTGCCAACAAGGAGCCAGTCAGCCGCCAGATAGGAGTGCCCAGATCACGCCGCATCAGAAATCATTCGAGCCATCGGTTTTTAGGTCGATGGTTCAACCATCTGGTCCAAACAGACGACCCATTCTGAAAAAATAAATTAAAAATAAAAAATGGTCAAAACTATTGAATGGGTCAAACAGGTCAACCGATCAATGGTTTGACTGCTCGGGTCAATAGTTCATTGGCCGATTCAAAGGCTTTTGGCCAAGGACTAGGTTTGGGGTAAAACGGAACCGGTTTCTTGGACGGTTCTTGGGCCCAACGGTCTGACCATTTGGGTCAACGGTAGTTCGAAAACCATGCCTGAAACACTTGTAAACAGGTGTATTGAGAACCTAGTGATATGATATGATACACCCGATATGGTGTGTCTCATATCAAAATTTTAATCTTTATTATAGCCAAAAAATTTTGTTATTGGAGGCTATAAATTGATCATAAACTAATAAATATATTAAAAAATAATAAAGAAAAAAATATTGAAATATTTACTAAAATGATTAGAAATTCATGTAATGCATGAAAATTAATAATTAAGAAATTATTAAAATAAATAAATAAGACTAATAATTAATAAATTAGTTCCTTATTAATGAATAATAATAACAATTAATGATTAATTTATTAATAATTCCATAATAATAATAAATTAATAATAATCTCTAAAACATAAATAAATATTAACTATTTAAAAACTTATCATAAAAAATAATTTAATTATTTAAATATTAACTTCTCTGTTACTCTCAAGAATCAAGTTCTTGATCGTTCCCACTGTGGCAATTGGCAAATTTGCTTTATCCAGACGGTTTGCTTCATCCAGACAGTTTCAACTATCTAAGAAGAGCAGTCTCTAAGCGCACAACCTCCGTAGCGGTTTCAGCTAATTCCTGGGGGGACTTGTTTGTTTCGTTCGCCTTCAGCCAAAGCTTACGGCCCGCGGAAATGATTTCCGCTTCGCGTTGCGCCCCCGGTGCCGCGTCTGCCGCAGGAAGATCCTCCGGCGGACGATTTAGATCGATTGGAAGTAGTCGATTGAAAGATCCCCCGCTCTCACTCGAAGAACGCCCAATACTTGGATATTCTCCATTGTCCCCTTCTCTCTCACTTTGTCATCAGGAATCGATTGAGCCTGCAACATCTCGTCCGCTCTCACTCGAACGAGCTCCAACGAGTTTGGTCACTCCCCCTTCTCTCTCACTCTATCTGTCATCAAGAATCGATTGATAAAGAGAGAGCCTGAAGAGTTTGGGAATTTGATTCAGGGGACGTCGTTGGACTGCTAGCATTTGGTATGAATTTTATTCAATACAATTTTGTTTTAACGTTGCCTAATAGATGTTTGTTGATTTATCTATTATAAATGGTTCTATTTCAGGCACGTTCATGCCTCTTTGATATTCTGTATTTACTTTTTTTACCTAGGTTCTGTCTTACTGGTACGTGTTGTCTCCCCTGATGTAAAATTGCATTTCTCCCCTCTCCTATGTATTTTCTTTTTCTTCTGAAAGAGGAATTAGTTGCATTGGAAGGGCTGAGATGAAGATTTAGGTAAACTGCTTCAGTTACTTTAAAGCACTCCAACAAGCCATACAAAAAGGCTGAAGTAGACAGCCCTTCAAATGACTGACTGACAGCTGATTTGGGTTCCCTGGATTTTTCAAAAAACATAGCTTATATGTTGGCTCCAAGGTCTGTCTAATTCACCCCCTGCATTGTCCCAAAGCAAAACCTGCAAGTTACCAAAGATTTATCAGGATCTCAAATGATTTGTCCGTACCAAAGATTGTTTATATGAAAGACCTCACAATCTCCTCAAAAACTTCTTTACTAAAAGTCAAAGCAATAAGTTTTTCAATTCAGCCAGTTATCACCTGGCAGTGTTTAGGGTATGACTGTAAACTATTACAACTAAATTCCATTTGAATGATTCATCTATTAAGTTTTACTATTGTTTATATGAAAAGCCTATTATATGAGAGATTAGTAATTTCTTTCATCCAAAGAAACAAAAAACAACAATATATTCATATAAACAACAATTGTTTATATGAAAAGCCTATTATATGTGTTGTATCATTACATGAGTGACTGATTTTATTTCTGACAAGCTAATCTGCAGTACAAGGCAGCCATGAGTCCATACCAAAGCAAACATGGGAACCTGGCCCTTTTGTTGAAGTTGGTGATATTAAATTGCTTTTCTAGCGGTTCTGTTTGTGATCCTTATGTTCTATCTTTTGAACCTTTAGTCCTTTTTCATTGTGTTCTTTTGGAGAGGGGTGCATTTTGAAAAGTTGTCTCATTCAAATTCTTGGAAGTATATAATGGTTGTAAGAGGTACTATGAATTTCTTGGGACAATCTCTACTGTATTGGTTATTCTAATTGATTAGTGGTCATTGTTTGGTGTAATATTAGAATGTTTGGATGGCAAACATGGGAACCTGGGTTTCAGTCTAAAATCAGAAAATTGTGCAAGAAATGTCAAATATTAGATCCATATTCAGTCCATACCTCCTAGATCCCTAGATAGCCACAACCAACATTGGGTAACTAATTATTTTGTCCTTTTCCAATTTATTTACTATTTTGGTTGTTTCTTCTATGATTGATTTTTTCTATGAATTATGGGAGTTAGAGTTTTCTCAAGAGATTGCTTGATGGTGGGGGAGTTGTGGTTGGTCGTTGGCAAGAAAAGATATATGCTGATGTTGTGGTGCATAATCTCAATATGATGTTTTCTATTGTCTTGTTCATTTTGAATTTTCTTGTTGAACAAGAGACTTAAGGCTGTGTTTGGTTTGAAGAAAAATGTAGGTAAAGATGGAGGGGAATCTATACAAAGTGGTGCTTATAGATTCCCCTTCCTTTTCATTCAAACCAAACACAGTGTTAAATGTCATGATCTTCTTTTGGTTTAGAGGAGGATGCAATCTTAATTTTCAACTTTCAACCATCATATTTGTAGAATTAACGTGGTGCTTATGGTAATATATAGAGGGCTTGTTTCTGGGAGAACCAGGTAAGTTGAGGTTTTTCATGTAAACAAAGGAAGAGCTGGTAAAATGCTCTTGTATTGAAAGCTCATTCCATGCTGGCTTTTCTAGGAAATTGTGGGTAGGGCTTTCCAAATGAAAAAATTGGATATGGTTTTGATAGAGTTGTAGCAGTTGGCATTGCCTTTTCCTTGTTCCAGAAGGTATTGGCTTGTGAGATTGCAAAGGCTTAGAGGTTGTGGTTTAAATCTGTGGATGGTTGAGGCTTCTGTGCCAAGAAAGGCTTGAATGGACAATATTGTCAAACATGACTTTGGGGGTGCCCTTTTTTCAATTAATATATGTGGGATGAGATTGATGTCTAGTTACTATATGTTTACACTATGAACTCATTTGCATTATGGAAAGGACTTGCAAGGCTGGATGCTTGTAGGAACACTTCTGATTGTATACAATTCTGCTGTAATCATCCTATATGGCTACAAAACCATGAGAAACTTGTTTTTTGCTTGCCATGTCCAAGATTTGGAAGATCAATTTGATGAAATAAGTATTACTCAATGGTTATGCTTATGTAAGACAAAGGCTGTGGATATTATATGTGAGATAGTCTGAGTTTCTTTCTTGGTGAAGAAAGTAGGTGGATAATCTATGGGGAACTAATGAGGTTTACAAGGATGGGAGGTTCTTTGATTGACATTGTTTCTTGTTTAATAAAACTTTGTGGCAAGTAAATCACAAGGGTTAGGCATTTTATTTCTTCAATCCCAGCATATTTGGTGGATATACCTTTGGCATTGTATTATATATATATATATTTATATATATATCATTTGTTCACAAAACTAATAATCACTTGGACAGTAAAGCAAGCTGCATCTTTACTGCATGGAGGCATATTCATCTGTGTTCCCATGACCTCATGAAAGCAGAAAAAAGAGCTTTGTCCTTACATTCATTTGTAAAATGACACAACAATTTTTGTCTCTAACTCTCCCACATGACATGGCTTGAGATTCTTTATCAGCCTCTTGGCTCATAAAGGAAATAACTTTATTTTGAGACCATGCCCCCATCTGGTTCCTTTAAAAGACATTCTAGAGGCCAGCTTTTTGTAAGGATTAGGATCTACAGCCATGATCATTGGGTCAGTCCTACTTAAGTTTGGTCACAGACCAAGAACAACTTACAAAAATTGGTCCTTGAACCCATAACATCTTTTCTCAAAGGATATTACCTGGAATAACTAAGTTTAAGCAGATTGTTCTTTTCAGCTGCTGCCCAGTCATAGCCATGACTTTCCTTGTTTTATTCTTTCTTGTAGCTACATGTGAAAGATTCTGTTATGCTTTGCTTTGAGCTGAATTGTAGGCTTTACACCCTCCAGGTTCTCTAAGAGAGAGATGCATTCTTCAACTTCTCTGTTTAATAAAGGCCTCTTGAATTTCGGACTCCAGATCAGCTGCTCTCGCCTCCTTTCATAGCAGCCACTGATAGTGACTTCAGCCTCTGTTAATCTATACAGTCTTGGACATAAGTCACAAAGTGTTCCCACCCCACACCACTCATCCTCCCCAAACCTGATTTTAGATCCATCCCCTACTACAAATCTGGTTAGGTCCCTGAATTCCTTGTTAAAGGTCATGATCCCCTTCCACACACTCACCTCATAGGAAGCCCTCACCTTCTTTCATTCCCAATCGAATATCATGCAAAGCTATTTGAGTAAATGAGATTGACATGACTTTTGTAAATTCAGGATATTGATGCATGTTTCCTTTCTCCTTTTACATTAAGAGACTTGGGATAAAGTCCCCCACCAAAAAAAAAAAGTTAGCTTGTAGCCTTGACTTCTAAAATAAAATCATCCATGGTGATTATGTACTCTACAAAATCTCTTCTAGAAAGTATCCTATAGTTCATTATGACTGCTATTGAACCTCTTTTTGGGTAAACAATCAATATTTAATTAATTAAGTCAGAAATAATATAAAAAATACAAATTAGTTAAAAACAGAAAGTGTAGTACACAAAGAGAGCTAGCCCACTTCTACCCTCCCCAAACATACAATCTTCTCAAGAAAGATGAACAAATTAACCTAGGTAGCACATACCCTCAATACAAAAACTTCCTATTGACTCGTTCTGGCAATAGCATCATTAAGTGCTAATCTAGGGACCCATTTGATGCTTGATTTTAAGCTAGCAGTCGTCGTTGCACTAGCCCCCTTGATGTGATGTCTTAAATGTCATGGACCTAGAGCTCTCCATTTCTAAACCAGTTGATAATTGTTTGCAAGTCCTCCTTCCACTTTGAGTTGCAATGTCCCATTTGCAGAATAAAAAGTAACTATGTTTAACATACTTGAGTACACTACCGACATCTTCCTATTATCAGGTTAATTCAACCTGATATACAAAATGGGACTCAATTTAAAGAATTTTAGAGGGAATTATCTTAGGAAGAGAGAGAAAGAGAGAAGAGATGATGAGGAGAGAGAGAGGAATGAAAAAAAATTGGGAATAGAGAAGAAAGAATGGAGGAGAGAGGAGAAAAGAGATCACCAACAAAACCTTTTATTGAAGGAACCAAAATCCTGAGTTTCCAGCCTTATATTCAAGTCCATATCACTTTACTTATTACAACTTACAGGTATTAAATCTGAAATATTGTTGGAAAATAAGTACAAACACTTTTATTGGTAAACAAGCATTAAAGCTTGGTTAGGTTTCACAATACGGAAGGCAAGTTTATATTGCATACTTGACTAAATTTTCATACATGATTTTATATCTCCAAAAATGTGATTTCTAACTTATTTTCTATTATTTTCTTATAGGTTAAACATGGTAAAGGAGGATACTTCACACGTGTGGATGAAGACATTTGATCAAAAATTACACGCCAATTTTTTTTTTCTTTAGGGATTGAGTTTCATGTATTCAAGAACCTTGAATTTGTAGCAAACACATGGATGTTAAAGAACCTTGAGATATAATTGATTTTTTTTATTATATAATCTTTTAATGGAATTTTAAATTTAAGTTCCATCTTATATTATGAACTAGTTGTGCTTGTATTCAATACAGGAAAGGAGGCTTCAAAAAATAATGAAAAAAAAAATTTCAGAATTAGGTTTATGTTTTAACTACATTCAGTATAGGTTTATGTTTTTAGCTACAGTCATTATAAACCGTAGTTATAAGTTATTTCTCTAGCATAGATTGATGTTCTTTTATTACGGGCAACTTGGATCCGTAGATAAATTCGGCTTTAGCCACGGGCACATTAGTTGTAGCTACGAATACGTTCAGCCGTAGCTATTGGCTATAGCCATCGCGACTATAGCTATCGTTTCTTGACCGTAGCTTGTCTGTAGCTATAGGCCTATAGCTATAGTTTTTTGCTTTTATAGCTACAGATTTGTTCGTAGCTATAGGCCTATTTTCTTGTAGTGTTAGCCTTGTAGATCATAGAATTATCATATGCATCATTCCTTAGTTCTTCTATCTCTGACAACCGTAACTTCTTTTGAATACCTGCAACATTTAAATCAAAATTAAGTGCTTTAACAGCTTAATAAGCTTTATGCTCAACCTCTACAAGTAAATGACACGCTTTCCCATAAATGAGTCAGTATGGTGACATCCCAAGGATAATTTTGTAAACAAAGTACGGTACGCCCAAAGTGCATTAGAAAGGCGTAAATACCAATCTTTATAGTTCGGGTTGACCGTCTTTTCCAAAATTTCCTTGACCTCCCTATTAGATAACTTAACTTGCCCATTGGTCTGTGGATGGTAAGCAGTTGACACCTTGTGAATAACGTCGTACCTGCGCATCAAAGCATCAAAAGAACGATTACAAAAATGTGCCCCTTGATCACTAATGATCACACATGGCATACCATACCTAGATAACACATTTTCTTTTAAGAACTTAACAACAACTTTGTTATCATTAGTACGATACGACACAACTTCAACCCATTTAGACACATAGTCAACAGCAAGCAGAATATAAAGATAACCAAAAGAAGGCAAAAATGACCCCATGAAATCAATACCCCAACAGTCAAAAATCTCAATAACCAAGATGGGGTTAATGGAGCATCATGTGATGATGAGTTAATGTACCTAACCTTTGGCACCTATCACAAGAACGACAAAAGGCATTAGTATCCTTAAACAAAGTAGGCCAGTAAAGACCACTTTGCAAAACCTTTGCAGCAGTCTTCTTCGTAGAAAAATGGCCACCACAAGCTTCAAAATGACAAAAATTAAGGACACTATTAATCTCACTTTCTGGAATACAATGCCTCATGATTTGGTCAAGGAAATACTTAAACAAGTAGGAATCATCCAAAAAAAAAAAATTCTTACCACAACCAAGAACTTACGCTTATCTTGTGCACTCTAGTTCGATGAAACTTCACCTGAAACCAAGTAGTTAACGATGTGGGCATACCATGGCACTTGGCTAACGATGAACAAATGCTCGTCGGGGAAATCATCTCGAATGGGTGGGTCATCATCAGTAGAATTGTTGAACTCTAATCGGGACAAATGATCAGCCACCACATTTTCAACACCCTTCTTATCCTTGATCGTTAGATCAAATTCCTGCAAAAGCAAAATCCACCTAATCAAGCGAGCCTTAGCATCCTTCTTAGAAAGAAGGTGCTTAAGAGTTGCATGGTCAGTAAACACAGTAATAGGTGAACCAATGAGATAAGCACGGAATTTATCTAAAGCAAAAACAACAGCTAGTAGCTCCTTTTTAGTTGTAGAATAATTCCTTTGAACACTATTAAGACTTCTACTAGCATAATAAATAACAAAGGGCTTCCCCTCCCTTCATTGGCCTAAAACAACTCCCACTGCATAGTTACTAGCATCACACATAATCTCAAACAGAAGGTTCCAATCTGGTGATTGCATGGTCGGTGCAGTGGTTAGCTTAGTGATGAGAGTTCTAAAAGCTTCTTCACACTCTGGGGTCCAATCGAACTCAACATCTTTGACTAGGAGGTTGCATAATGGTCGTGTTATAGTAGAACAATTTTGTATGAACCTCCTGTAAAAACCAACATGTTTGAGAAAAGACTGGACTTCTCTTACCGTTTTGGGAGTGGATAATTTAGAGATCAACTCCATTTTGGCCTTGTCAACCTCTATTCCTCTTTCAGACATGATGTGTCCCAAAACTATACCTGAAGACACCATGAAATGACATTTTTCCCAGTTAAGCACAAGTCCTTTTTCTTCACACCTAGTCAAAACCACTTTCAAATTAAGTAAGCATGAATCAAAAGAATCACCAAAAATAGTCAAATCATCCATAAAGACTTTCATGCATTTTTCAACCATATCAGAAAACACAATAAGCATGCAACAATGAAAAGTAGCTGGAGCATTACATAAACCAAATGGCATCCTACGAAAAGCATAATTACCAAAAGGACATGTAAAAGTAGTCTTATCCTGATCTTCTAAAGCTATCTCAATTTGATAATAGCCTGAATAACCATTAAGAAAGCAATAGAAAGGATGGCCAGCCACATGTTCTAAGATTTGGTCAATAAATGGCAATGGAAAATGGTCTTTTCGGGTACCTGTGTTTAATTTCCTATAGTCAATGCACATGCGCCACCCAGTTACTACCTTAGTGGGAACAAGAACTCCTTCCTCATTTTCAACTACTGTGACCCCTGATTTCTTTGGCACAACCTGTGTAGGACTAACCCATTTACTGTCAGATATAGGATATATGATTCCTGCGTCTAACAGTTTTAAGACCTCATTTTTAACAACTTCTTTTATTATTGGGTTCAATCTTCTTTGGGGGTCTCGATGTAGGATAGTTCCTTCTTCTAAATGAATCCTATGGGAACATATCAGTGGGTTTATACCTTTAATGTCAGCTATGGTCCAACCTAGTGCAGCCTTATGTTCTCTTAATAGATTTATCAATTTCTCATCTTGCTCAGCACTAAGTTTAGAAGATATTATAACAGGAAAGATATCACATGGTCCCAAAAATGCATGTTTTAATCCTTCAGGTAGTGGGGATAACTCCACTTTGGGTGTCTCCATAGAAGATGGCTTCGGTTGGTCTCTCTCACATGGCAACTCCTCAGAGTGTGGTTGCCAAAACTTCTTTTGCTTATCCTGCATATCATTAGAAATAGAGGAAACCTTAGAAACATCAGTAATAGGATAAAACAAAAATTCAGAATTCAAATCAGAATTACAAAGGAGATATTCTAAAGATTCAGAATTTTTCCTTTCATCTACTTCATCTGTAATGAGAGAGTCTATTATGTAGGTATGATAGCACTTGTCCTCGTCTCGGGGCTGCTTTCCAACATGAAAAATGTTCACCTCAAGAGTCATATTCCCAAATGAAAGCTTCATCAAACCATTCCTACAATTAATAAGAGCATTGGCTGTAGCAAGGAATGGTTTTCCTAAAATAAGCGGAATTTTTGACTCTCTGTCAACTACAGATTGGGTATCTAAAGCCAAAAAATCAGCAGGATAATAGAATTTATCAATCTGAAGCAAAACATCTTCCACTATCCCCCTTGGTTTCTGAATAGAATGGTCAGCCAATTGTAACACCACGGACATGGGTTTTATATCTCTAAGACCTAATTGCAAGTAAACTGAATAAGGCATTAAATTTACACTTGCTCCTAGGTCTAAGAGAGCTTGACCGAATTCTTGTGTCCCAATATGGCAAGAAATTGTGGGGCACCCTGGATCTTTGTACTTTGGTGGCGTTCTTTGCTCAATCACCGCACTTACCTGTTCTATCAGAAATGCAACTTGACATGGTGTTTCCTTTTCATGGTACATAGATCCTTGATCACCTTGGCATAAGCTGGTACCTGCTTAATCACATGCAACAAAGGTAGATTAATCTTAACTTTTTTCAAATGTTCCAAAATCTCACCTTGGTTGTCTGAAATTTTTCCTCCATATTTGAGAGCTTGGGGAAATGGCACTTGGATCGTAGCCTCATTTTCTGGCTCTTTTGAGGGGGCATCTTCAGTTTTACTCAAAGTGGTGACATTTGTGAGAGGTGGGCTTGGCAAAGGTTCATCTAAAACCTTACCACTGTGAGTAGTGATGGTGTGGACCCCCTTAATGTTTTCTGGATCAGAGGTGGATCCCTGTACCATATGTGACCCCTTCGGATTGGTTTGAGGCTGAGATGGAATTTTTCCTCTCTCTTGTATAGTAAGAGCATTGGTAAGCTTAGTTATCTGACTCTTGATATCCTTGTTCTCTTCAATCACCTGCGCAAGAACAGATTCAAACTTTTGGTTAGTCTTATTCTGTACCGCTATAAATGCTTGAAGTGTTTCCTCTAAAGGATTCCTATTCGGTCGAGCATTGTATTGGGGTGCAGGATAAAATCTGGGTGGTTGCACCTCTACACTCTAATTGTGGTTGGATGATGTGGGTTGGTTCTGATCCTTCCAACTAAAATTGGGATGGTTCCTCCAGCAAGGGTTATAGGTCTCTGAATAGGGTGAGAAAGGTTTCCTATACATTCATAAGGCATTACACTATTCTTCATAAACCTCTCTCATTTCACCATAGGTTGGGCAATCCTGAGCTAAGTGATCCAATCCCCCACAGACAAAACATGAAGTTTGAGTTTCTACCCTAGCAACCGTGTGGGTGACTTTATTATTTCTTATCTTTAAGGCCTCAAGTTCCCTAGGTACAACTTCTAATTGGGCTTTGAGGTTGTCTTCCTCCTTAAGATGGTAAATCCCAATTGGACATGACCTATTAGTACAGCTTCTCAGCTAACTCATTCAAGTAATCTATGGCTTCTTCAGGATCCTTTTTTAAAAACTCCCCATTACACATCATTTCTATGAATTGGCCCTCCTTGCTGGTTAATCCCTCATAAAAGTAACTAAATAGCCTCYAACTTTCATACCCATGGTGTGGAAACAGGTTCTGTAGCTCTTTGAATCTCTCCCAGGCTTGGTATAAGGTTTCACTATCCTTTTGAGAAAAAGGTTGAGATCTGTCT